GAATAAGAATTTAAAATGGGGGGAAATATCATTATGACATAAATGTTTTTCTCTAATACACATTGGACACAATTAACAGCACCCTTTTATTCAATGCTTTTTGCAACCTCCATTTGGCATAATAACAGCTCTGAGTTTTCTCATCATCCAGAATCTTTCCAGACCCTTCAGATTCCCAGCTCCATGATGGAGCTTCTCCTCTTCAGTTCACCACACTCATTTTCTATAGGGTTCAGGTCAGGGAACCGCACACACTGACACTCACACTAGGGCTGCACGATTTGGAGAAAAAAAATCTAATTGCGATTTTTCTGATCAAAATTGCGATTTGCGATTTAAAATGCGATTTCATAAAAGAGCTACAGGTTTGTTGTGGTGGTTAACAGCACCAAAGAAAGACCAAGCATAATCACAAACTATGCTACACTGTGATACTGTTTATTTAAAACCTCTTAAACATTGTGGCCATTTTTTTTTATAAAGTTGTCATGATGCAAACATCTGTCATGACAAATTAAACTAAAGAAAATAACTACAGTATCTTAAATAAAGTTAAATTAACAATTATATATAAAATCTTAAACTTTTAAGAACCCAAACACACTGTAAACAATTCTACATCAGTAAAACACTGACCATAACCTACATTAAGGTTGAAACAATGACAGCACAAGTTTTGCCATTTAAAGTGCAAAGTACATGAATAATTCTGATGCCAAAAGGCCTACAAGAAAACATTCACATTTAGATTGTTACATTTTCACATTGTTCAGGGTAATGTGCTTAAAGATTTTTTTGACAAAAAGAGCAGCATATCCACTCTCTCTGGTTTGAAGCATGACCGCTGACATGTTACTATATTGCCTGCTGCACTGAAGAGTCTTTCCGACGGTGTGCTTGTGGCAGGAACACACAGGTATCGGCAAGCCAACCTGCTCAACCTGGGAAAATTAACCTGGTGCTGTTTCCACCAGGTCAGGGGATTCTCTTCTCCATCAATTGCTGGTGCAGTTAAGTAGCCGTTTAGCTCTGCTTCCACCACATGATGAAAATTAGGAGGTTCTTCTGGAGACACAGAGGAAATCTTGAAATAGCTGCCAAGTGTCTTTGCTTTCACAGACGAGGCTGCTCCTAAATCCTGTGACTCTGAGACACGTGATCTTTTCTCCTGTAACATTCAAAAACAGGGAAGCAAGTTACTTAAGTTTTAACATTTTCAGTACAGAAATGAATGCTCAACACATTTCCTCATAAGTGCCATTTTCTTACCTTTCTTGCAGCTTCTTCCATCTCTGTCATCATTCTTTCTTTTATGGTTGGGATGTTGTCTTGACTGATGTAATTCGTTTTGAAGCGAGGATCTAAGAATTATGTAACATCCAGAAGTTCTTGAGTGGCTGGGTCATCATATATTTCCTTGAGGTATTGGAGGACTCTGTCTTTGATTGCCCTTGTTAGATTAGTGTCATCCTGATCTTCAGCGAGTGTCTTTGTCCTCAAAAGGTGAAGAACTGGCTTAAGATAGGAGACACTAACATAATCCTCTCCCGAAAGCACATCTGTAAACTCCTGAAGTGGATGTAGAGCTTTGTGGATGGATTCCAACACCTCTATGTCTTGCCATGTCAGCATTAGATGCCTTGTTTTCTTGTCTGCAGACAGCACATGATTCAAAGCTTTACATTGCTCCAGAACCCTTGCAATCATTTGTTGGGAACTCTGTAATCAATGAGTGCTCAAGCAGATTCAGCTCTTTTTGGGCTGCAGTCAATGCCATTCTTTTCTTCCAGCTGTAGGAGAACTGACTGACCAGCTTCTTGCAAACGCCTACTGCTCGCTGCACCCTGTCATCTTTCAGTGCGTTTTCTGAAAATATACCATTAAAAAAAAGGTTAGAATGCAATTATCTCAGTTAGCATTAGTTAATATCTAAGATGTGAATGAGCCTACAATGAACAACATTATTTAGAGTATTTAAGTTCATTTTAATTTATATACACATACTTTACTCCTTATTAATAATTCATATTTGTTCATAATACAGTTTTTTGAAACGAACAGAAATGTTAAACATGTATAAGTTCATGCAGTAAATTCTATTATTAACAAAGCTCAACCAATGCTGTAAAATTATTTATCATTGTTATTACAATATGATTATGTAATGTATATGAATAATTCCCGATTATAAAATTTATATTATACATGAACACTTACCAATAGCAAGATGGAGTCTGTGACCAAAGCACTGCAGCCTGGTCCATCCATTTATTTCCACTGCCCTTATTATGTTGGCTGCATTGTCTGTGGTGATGCACACCTGGCCTTCTTCGTTCAGACCCGAGCCAGCTAGAGCATCTTTCAAAGCAGAAGCGATGTTTTCTCCCGTATGGTCAGTGGGAAAGTACGACGTTTGTAAACAACGACTCTTTAATTCAAAATCCACACATATGAAATGAACAGTGAGACTTTGATATGGTTCAGTCGTCCTGCTCGACCACATGTCAGTTGTCGTCGCGTAATATTTCACCTCATTTAGCTCAGCTTCAACCTTCTTCCTGCACGTATTGTACAGGTTTTGGATGGCTTGAGTAAAGAACGTACGAGAAGGAATGCGATATCTTTTATCGAGCGTTAGGATAAGATTCTTAAAACCATCTTTTGTGACAGCGTTAATCGGCACCATATCTTTAGCCAGGTAACTTATGGCGTCTGTTATTTTGCCGTACCTTCGTGAAGATTTGTCAGGGTGTGACACTTTCTAACGCTTGAGCAATTGAAGTTTGCTTGGATGTCAGTCGCGGTGGTTGTGACGAAGTGTGTTCATCGGTGGGCCTTTTGACCATGCATTCATCATAGATTTGTCTGTGATACTTCTGCAGGTGCTGATACAGGTTGGTTGTGTTACCTCGCGAGGTCGACACAGACGTTCGGCAGGTTTTACAAAGTACTTGCCTTTGAAGTACATCAGAACGTCGAAATCCAAAATAATTCCAAACATCGCGATTTCGGTTTACAAACAGTTAATCGTGCAGGCCTAGTTTAAAATGTTTGATTTGTAGTTGAGAACTTTGTTGGGAAGTTGAACTGCTGCTCCCGCTCACGCTCATCTTTTCCAAATGGCGTCATTTGCTCGTTCAGTCAATATATCTCCGTTCAGTCAGCACGTGCAGTGTTAAAATGCCCCCTACTGGTTAATCTCTGCATCAAACGTAAAATGCGCATTAAGCAAACTGTCAAAAACTACATAGATGCTTGTTACCATATATGATAGTCCTTCATCGAAATAATCGCAGCTCTTGCGATTTGAAAATCGCAACCTTTCAAATCGCGATTTCGGTTTACAAACAATTAATCGTGCAGGCCTAACTCACACGCACTCACTGACACTCACTCACACGCACTCACTGACACTCACTCAGACACTCACACGCACTCACTGACACTCACACGCACTCACTGACACTCACACGCACTCACTGACACTCACACGCACACACTCACACTCACACGCTCACACTCACACACACACACACACACACGCTCTCTCTCACACACACTCACAAACTGTCTCTCTCTCTCTCTCTCTCACACACACACACACACACTCTCACACACACACCCGACAGAAGAGACGCAGGAAACACCACCAACACTCAGCGAAGCTAATTTCCTCGCCAGAACATACACCCATTAAATAAACCTCATTACGTTTGACATCCTTCCAATTACACCAGCGGCACGATATTCAAGCTTAACTCCACTAACACCAGCTCAAGTATGTGCAGCACCGTCAGCGCAGGAATCCAGCGATCACTCATGCAGAAACCTGTTAGCGTTCCACGGTACTCTGCGCGTTAACTTCATGACATACAACAAATCCAAGCTAAACATGTCACATATCTTTGGAAAGCTGAGATCCTTGTGACTCGAAGATACAATCAACACAGCAGGTGCAATCAGTGTCTTTGTCAGACCACCAACAAGGCTTCATGCGTATTTGAAACAGACCTCAGAGTGTCACCTTTCAAAAGACATATAAAGAGCAGAGAGTCCAGCTGAAACCTCCAGCTCCACTACAACCTTTTCACTCAAAGGTTTAACGAGTTCACGTGTAAAGAAAGCTATCTGGTTTCATTTGAAGCAAACTCGAGCGACCCCATGTGAGCACTGAGACTTATGAACACGTCAAGTACATACAATAGGCCCACATGCTCGCATCAAATAAAAAACACGCAAAAACAAAATGTTAGACAAAATAAGACTGTCATAAAGCAGCTTTCAGTAGCGCAGTGCACATTTAAACTGAAGCTTCCAGTTATTAGATCATGATCATATCAACTACACCAAAACACCAGAGAAGAGCAAAGCAGGAGATGAAGTGATGATGATGATGATCAAAAGGAGGAGTTTATTGTATAATCTTAGTTGTGTAGGTTTCAATGCTCAGACTTCATCTGACCAGCACAGATCCAACAAGTGTTTTTACACCACAAGCCATAACAATGGAAAATTACTGCTTCACAACATCATCCAGTCACGATAAAAACACTGCAATGGAGACCGTCTCTTATCTCTTACTCGTGAAGACAAATATCCCTTAAAACCACACAATAATAAGACTACACAACAACATGTACGGTTGCTCTCTTGAATCCTTAGATCCTTCGTAGTGGAACTGAGCTCAATTGTACTAGATGGCCCATGCATGTTCAACACTAAGCAAAAAGCAACTTTACTTAAAAAAAAAAAAAACCTCTCAAGCATCTCCTCCTTCCTCACCTGCAGTGTCATCCTGGTCTTTCCCGTTTTCAGATTGCTGGTGTTTGGGAGAAGAACATTACAGCGATTAGACTTCACATCCGCGTGATAAAACAAAATCACATTCACAGCAGGGTTATTATCTAAAACTACTAAAACATTTTTACAGCACTGTATTACTAACTGGAAATAAATTAATGAAAAACTAAAATTGAACTAAAAATAAATGAAACCTAAAGAGACCAAAAAATACTTAAAATGTAAAAAATGTATGTTATATATTAAGTAAAAATAAAAGCTAATAAAAATGACACACATGAAAGTAACAAAAAGCAATAAAAACAAATTTAAAGTATAAAAATAAAATCTAATCTAAAATATTATGCAAACTATAATAGTACATAAATAATCGTAAAATAACACAGTATAGTGCAAGCGTCTGTGAGTCTCATCTCACCGAACTCTCCAGGACTGAAGACTGAGACGCCGCTTCCGGCTGACGACTGGACTTCTGATGAGGACCTGAAGAATCGCCGGCCGCGTGTGATCTGCAGTACAAAACACACCTAAATCATTCCCTCACACAGCAGGACGACAGCAGCAGTACAGCATTAACAAGCACTAACCTGCTTTTAGAAGAAGTTTTCTTCGTTTCGGTTTTCTTGGTCTTCATCTCTGCTGGAAACACAACACAAATGAAGCGCTCTGCTGCGGTGGCTCGCGGCTGAAGCCATGCTGAAGAATCAGACGTTACCTCTGCTCTCCTGCAGCTCCGTCTGGAAGCGCTCGTGCTGCTGCAGCAGGTCTTTCTGTCCCTCGGTGTCTGCGCCGCAGGCGTCCTGAGCCAGGCGGTTGGCCGTCAGAGCTTTCTGATGTTCCCCCAGATAGAACAGAGCGTCACAGAAGCGGTAGTGACCCTGAAAGCCCAGAGAACACATGGCATAAAAACCCTGACAGAGCTGCGGCTCTCTGGTGCAGCTCCACCAGATTCACCACAGAGCTGCAGAAAATCATTCAGAGGATCTCAACTAATGGATGCTTTTCAGACTCTCAGAAGCAGAAGTCGTCGTAGTCGGGGAACTCCGACAGCGGTGAACGGAAACTAACACTAACAGAACTTGTGTTAACATTCGCTCCGACAGCAAAATAAATCATCTGGTACATTAATATGTGAGCCTGCAGCACAAAAGCAGTCTTAAGTCGCTGGGGTATATTTGTAGCAATAGCCAACAATACATTGTATGGGTCAAAATTATAAATTTTTCTTTAATGCCAAAAATCATTAGGATATTAAGTAAAGATCATGTTCCATGAAGATATTTTGTAAATTTCTTACCGTAAATATATCAAAACTTAATTTTTGATTAGTAATATGCATTGCTAAGAACTTCATTTGGACAACTTTAAAGATGATTTTCTCAATATTTAGATTTTTTTGCACCCTCAGATTCCAGATTTTCAAATAGTTGTATCTCGGCCAAATATTGTCCGATCCTAACAAACCACACATCAATGGAAAGCTTATTTATTCAGCTTTCGGATCTCAATTTTAAAAAATGGACCCTTATGACTGGTTTTGTGGTCCAGGGTCACATATTTGTGAACAAGCATTTAAATTGCACATATGGCAGCTTTTAGAATAAAAGCTTATATGATAACAAATTATTATTATAACATTTTACTGACATTATTATTTCTACTCCAGTTTGTCAAACATTCAAACTGAATATCACAACTTGTTTACATGACAGATTTATTCAAACAATCCTTAAAATACTCAAGAACAGATTAAATAAAAACATAATTAACATGTAATATAGTGCATACATTAATGAAAACGCTCCTCTCTCTAGTTATTATTTTAGCTGACTATTGAGTTTATGGTCACGGAGTGTCTTTGCTGAGGTAAATGTGACGAAGCTGTTTCTGCGGCTGATTACATGATTCAGGACTGATTTCAGTAAGTGATGTTCATGTTTATTTGCTGCTGTAACCAGAGACGATCGCGTCACGCTTCAACTGAGGTGCTAGAGCGATCGGTCACGACACAAAAAAAACGCAGAAATGGTATTTCTTGTTTTGATTTCATAATAATACTGACTTCATTTGAAAGCTGAGGCTTTGCTTCATATCAAAAGTGACAAAGCGCAAAGATTACTGCGATTTATTGGATGGGATGCGCTATAAATAACATTCCATTAAGTTTTGTTCTTGTATATAGATCGTTATCAGTTCATCAAAATGAGAATTGATTCAAATATTGTCAACCCAGCCCTACTACATAGTGTGCAACGTTTCTCCAGCGTCTATCTGACACAGAGAGTTATCTGACACATGATGATGATGATGAAGATGATGATGGTGGCAGTGTTCAGTGAACCAGCACTCACCTTGGCCCAGTCTGGCTGCAATATAATGGCTCTCTTTCCGTCTCCAAGTGCTTTCCTGAAAACGGTTCCCACAATCAGTATCACCAATCAATCAGGTTTTTGAATACGGTGTACGGTTTGTGTCCAACTCACAGATATTTCTCCGAGCGAATGTAGCAGAGCGCTCTGTTCCCGTACAGGATGTGGTTGCTCGGGCTGAAAACAGAACAGACAGACGAACATTCGATTAAAACCTGGGAAACTGACGTGGACTGGGAATTAAAGCAGCGAGGTTCTTCGGTCACTTACTGGTATTTAATGGCTTTGGTGTACCACTTCAACGCCAGATCATATTTCTTCTTCTGAAAATGCTCATTTCCTTTGTTTTTCATATCTTCGCTTTTCTAGAATGAAAATGGAGTTGGAGATGAAAAAGACAGTGTCTTATTTCTGTCCCACAGTCAATCATGTTTGAAACAGATTTGAATGATCCTATGAATGCAGTGCGTTAAATATGGAAACAAACATGTTATTCGATCTTTAAGACTCTCACTGAAAAAGTCCAAGGGTCCGGCTCTGCTTTCAGCTCCTTGATGGCCTTCTTTTTACTGCATGAAACCACCTGAAGATAGCGTGAATCTGTAGAGCGAGACGTTCATTATTCAGACAGCACTGAACCCAAAATCACTGTCATCTGCTATAGGAGCTTTTTATAATATTTTGATATAAATTTGATCATTTCTGTTTGACGTTAATTTTAGCTAAAATTTTCGTAATTTTGATTTGAATTATATATGTACATAAATTAGGGCTGTCAATAGATTAAAATTTGTATTCAGATTAATCACACCCTTTTCCTGTGATTAATTGCGATTAATCGCACGTCATGAAATTAAGAATATGCTTAATTGATCTCGTTTAACATGTTAATTTTGTCATTTGCTATCTCCAGCAAAGTAAACCAAAAGATTGAAGGGTGATTCTTACAAAACTGTATTTTCTGCAAGCTTTTTTCAAGATAAATTTAGATGTCTTTCCTATAAAAGGACACTTGGAGACTCCAAAAGTACACCAAAGACCCAAATGATATAAGGGGTCCATATAATTGCTAAATTTATTCCCACCAAAGCACACATGAAAGAAAAAAAATACTGAAGAAACTTTTCAGAATTGTGTAGAATAGAAATAAAGAACCTGTTTAGGCTATATTTCAGACAAGTCAAGTTGTAATACCAAACTGGACCACATGGAGGCACCAAAAAACCCTCAACCAACCGCCTTGAGCTGACTGCATTTTCCCACTGCAGTACACGCATCCATTCAGAACGACTAAACAGTGAAACACTGAAAACTACATGAATGTACATGGCTCGAAATTGCGACCATTTTGGTCGCATATGCTCCCGAAATTTAATCTGTGCGACCTCAAAATATATTTGGGAGCATTTGTGCGAGTGCATATAATTGTTGTCGTGCGACCCGTTTTCATTTCTCTAAAAACGTTCAGAGTATGTGCCTTCTGAGTGTTGATACGGTGACCTGTCTGCCGTTCTATGAAACGTTAGGCTACATAACAAAATTAAACTTCATCTTTACATTTTTAACTTTAATGCAGATTTTAGACTGGTTAATATTAGCTGTCAATCACTCAGTCACTGCTTTCCGCTGTCAGGTGACAGGGAGCTAACTACCGCGGGGAATGTAAAGGGCTGAAGAAGAGAGAAAATAAAAAAGAAACACTGACAGATTTATTTTGTGAACCACCTAAAGTTACAAATAATGGTGCTGGTGATAGCGATCATGTGGTGAATGTTGATCCACCAGCCGAATAGAAGGCGTACAGTTTTCGGAGAGAGTGGTTGAAAGACTTCTAGTGGCTCCGCTATGAAAATGGTTCTATGCACTGCGTTCACTGTAAAGCCTGTGGGACGGAGTTTGCAGGTTACAGCGTTCGCCACCGAATCTACATATTTCGTAATTGTTGTTTTCCGACATGTGGTTTGACATTATCGAGTGTATTGCAAAATCCAAACAAAACACACCTACAGAGAGTGCACGCATACATGACGTGAAGTCTATTAGGTTAGATTAGTGCGCGTGCGCATTTAGAGTGCGTTCTTTCACGGCATGATTCAGTCTATTAAAATGCATCACAAAATTCAAGATATGGGGCCTTTAAAAGCAGTGACTGAGAGATTGACAGCTAATATTAACCAATACAAAATCTGCATTAAAGTTAAGAATGTAAGGATAAAATCTGTTAATATATAATTTGTAGTTGTGGTGCTCCTAAATTTTTGGTGAGTGCTCCTACATTTTTGCTGGTGCTCCTAACTTTTTGAAGTTGGGAGCACCAGTGCTACCAAGTAAAAAAGTTAATTTCGAGCCCTGATGTACGGAAATGCCTGTGCATAAATACCATGTGCAATCAGAGCGTCAAGAGCGCTCATACACGCAACAATATATGGACTCATTAAAAATGACCCTTTTAGCCACTGCAAGAGAAGCTGGTCGTTCCAAATCTGTGAGTATCTATAGATTGTTCTCTTATTTTGATTTCCTCTGTATATATAACAATTTATCTCGGTTAACGTTTTTTTTTTCCCCCTCTGTTCTACATTTCAACTCTGTTCTACATCTCTCGTGCTGTCAGGACATCAATGGAAATGAAACTCACACTCGCTGAAGATGAAGCAAAGCGTCCGGTAGCGAATCTCCACTGATCCGAGATCCAGCAGCTTCTTGCGGATGTCAGGAGCTCTAGAGTCCAGCAGCCAGCTGATGGCTTCAGCCAAACAATCGTCCTCCTGCAGACAGACGGATGGACGCGTGTCAGAAAACAGACCATTAAAACACACTTACTGCAGCGGCGCAGCAACGTACCATGGAAAACAATCTGCTTAAGGACACCACGGCTCGGGCTTTCCCCTCCATGTCCGGGTGAGACAGCTGAACAAAACAAGACAACATCAGACCGGAAGAAGCGGTGAAGGATCAGTGAACGTTCATCAGCACGGATACGTACGCCTCTCTCCATGGCATCCAGAATGCTTTCCAGGATCTCGATCTTCTCGAGCCTCTTCAGACTCAAGTCATTCGACACACTGAAAGACAGACAATGAAAACCAATTACAAATTGAGATTTTGATAAAAAATATTAGCCAATGTTACCATTACACACATTCCACTTCCAACTGACGAGATTTTTAGTAGATGAAAGGGATTTCTATATTTTATCCATTCAATAGCCTAAGAAAGCGATCCGAGTTCAGCACATAAATGTAGTAATTGTACATTATCCAGCTTATTACTTGCCACATAAGTAAATAATTAGACAAAATATTGATTTGAGTTGAAATATTTGAACACAAAGCTTCCGTGAAGACGGCAAGTTCAAACTAGATGGACATTTAAGGGATATGGTGCTGTCATACCACTTATTACACAACATTTCACCACATAAATGATTATGACGATAAAAGATATTGAATT